TTCTTCCTCTTCTTCTTCTTCTTCTTCCTCTTCTTCTTCTTCTTCTTCTTCCTCTTCTTCTTCTTCCTCTTCTTCTTCTTCTTCTTCTTCTTCTTCTTCCTCTTCTTCTTCTTCTTCTTCCTCTTCTTTTTCTTCTTCTTCTTCTTCTTCTTCTTCGAGTCCGCCCCCTTGCGCCGCGCGCCTTCGCCTGGAGAGGTCTGCGGCGGCTTCGCGGGTGGAGGGCGGGCCGTGCTCAGAGGCTGCGCGCCCGCGCGCGCTCGAGCGGCGCCGGCGCGCCCTCGCCCCGAGAGCTTGCGGCAGCTTCGAGGACGGAGGACTTTTTTTTTTTTTTTGGTTGTTTTTTTTTTGTTGTTGTTTTTTTCTTTTTTTGTTTCAATATGCTGCTCTTGCCTGAGCGCCGCGCACATTTTTTTTTCTCCGCAGCAGTTTCAAGGATTCGTCTGGTTGAGGTGCCAGGAATTGTTCTCTGGCGCCGTTGGGGAGCGTCAGGAGGCAACAGGCATGCTGATTTTCGGCGTCGACGTCCCAGGAGTGGATCGGCACGATCTGGGAGTGTCTCAGGGCGCAGAGGTCACGCCAGCTCTCGGTGCTGAAGTTTAGAACTGATGCTCTGTTGCGATTGAAGGTTCTCAGACGGAGCGAGAATAGGTTCGAGCGCAGGCATCGGGCAGCCACAATCAAAACCCATCGGCTGCCTGATGCCTCCCCCTCCTCCCTCCCCCTCAATTTTCCCGCACGCTGTGCTGCGCAATTGCTCTAGATGCTTCCCTCCTCCTCCTCCTCCTCCGCTTCTTCGTGTTCTTCTTCCTATCGTGGTCAGACTTCGCGGTCTGCAGGCAACGCTCGGAGAAAGGAGGTTCGGTCTAAGCTCTGCAAAGGCCTCCATCCCAGGAGATCGGGGGTGACTGCAGAGCTTGACGGTGCTGGCCATCTGTGAGGCCGGCTCTGAGGCAGTGGATCTCAAACAACAACATCGTGCTCGTGAGGCAGTGGATATCTGAGGCGCCTTCTCCTTCACTGCCTCGCCCTCCTCCCTCTTCCGCTGCCCGCGCCAGGCTACAAGGACGAACAGGTCCTGTGGCTGCCCATCAGCGGGCTGTCGGGGGACAACGTCAAGGAGCGAAAGAACATCCCCGCCGGGCCGTCGCCGATACCCGCCACGGACCCCGTGCTCCGACTGGGGCTCCCTGGGGAGGAGCCGGCCAGGCGTTGCCACGAGGGCGCCCCAGGGGGCCCGGAGGCCCAGCCCGAAGCACCCGGGAGAGGCCCATCTCTCCTCACCGCCGGCACCGCGTCTTCGAGCACCGCGCGTCCCTGGCGAGAGGCGGGCCTCGGACGCGGCAGCGCAGTCGTGCGGAGGAGTCGGGGTGCGGCCTGAGGTCAAGCTGCCCTTCACCTGCGTCCGACAGGCTGAAGTTGGCGCGGGTGAGCCTGTCGGGAGCACCGACGGGCTGTCCGGCCTCAACGTGGAAGTGGCCGAAAGCGTTAACGGAATTGGGCCTTCGATCCTCGACACGCGCGATGTTCGCTACAGGGTGCTGATCGGATGCTCACCGCACGTTCCCCCCCTCCCTCGCCGCCGCCGCCGTGCCGGTTTTCCCGTCCCGTCCGCTTTTCGTAAGGCTGTTGCACACTTTTGAGCCGACTATGTGCGGCGCTTAGGCGAGAGCCGCATTTTGAAAACGACCCGCCTTCATCCGTGCAGCTGTTTCCATATTTCAAGTTTCAGGACCATCAGTGGTGAGGAGCTCTAAGGCGAAGCGCCCGTCCCGCCCCACCGACACGATTGGGGGTGCGACAGGGGGAAGAGTTTTTTATGAGGAAGACGGGTGGACGAGGAGGAGGAGGAGGAGGAGGAGGAGGAGGAGGAGGAGGAGGAGGAGGAGGAGGAGGAGGAGGAGGAGGACCGCGAGGACCACGAGGAGGACGGGGCTCGGCGACGCGACGGGGCTGGGCGGCCCTCGCCTCGGCGGGGCCCGGCGGACGCCCGACTGGTGCCCAGCCCGCGCGAGAGGGCCCCGCGGCCCTGGGGCGGGAGAGGCGCCCGGCGCCTCGGGGCGATCGCCACGGCGATCGACCGATCCTCGGGCGACCGCAGACAGCGCAAGCGTCAGGCGATCGATCGATCCTCCTGAGGCGGTCATGGTCCACGTCGGCCGTCGCCGATTCGCGAGGATGACCCGGGGGGGAGGGGGTGGCGCGCTGATCCCAGAAAGGTCCGAGAGGAGCTCCGAAAGTGTATGTTTACATTGTTGCTTTGTGGCTCAAATCTCTGGCGATCGCAAACATGGATCAAGGGGGCGTGGATTAGCGACGGTCCCGTTTCCGCGGGAAGTCGCGGATTTCCGCCGCCGAGCGAGGCGGCACCGGCCGCATTTTGGGGAGGGCCCCCCCCCCGATCCATGGACTTGGCGACCGCGCGCCAAATCCATGCATCGCTAATCCATGTTTGCGCGCCCCCGAGATCCGGGTTCAGTCGATCGATGGTCGAGGATCGATGCTCGAGGATTGAGCGATCCTCGATCGATCCATCTTCGAGCTTGAGGAGGAGTCCCTGTCTGGAGGAGGTGCGCGGCTCGGTTCGGGTGTTGCCACATGAAACCTCGGGGCCCCAGGTGGCCCCAGCTTTTGTATGGAAGCCCCCGACTCCAGAGCACTCCACACAATGTCGCACGGGACTAGGACGAGGAGAAATTCGTTGCACAGCGTTCCGGAACGCTTTGAGAAGGCCGCGACGCCCGATACATCTTCCAGAGCCGCGGGATCTCAGAGATTCTCGATTTACCCTCACCCGAATGTATCCTCGTTCTGGATTCGTCTTACGATGCCCAGGGGCGGCCCAGGGGCTCCAAACTGGCGTGCAGAGCTGGGGGCATCTTGAGCTAGACGCACTTCTAGCAACGCCCGAGAGGGCCTGGAGGGCCCGCGGGCGATCAGTCCATCCTTGGCGGTGACGACGACGACGACGACGACGACGAGGAGGAGGAGGAGGAGGAGGAGGAGGAGGAGGAGGAGGAGGAGGAGAAGGAGGAGGAGGAGGAGGAGCAGGAGGAGGAGGAGGAGGAGGAGGAGGAGGAGGAGGAGGAGGAGGAGGCGGCAATGGCGTGGGTACCTGTCATCGGCTGCGGCCCTCCCGAGCGATCGATCTCGTCGGGGACGCCGAAGCATGGTTCGACGCGCACCGGGGTCAGCCGCGCCCTTCCGGTCCACCTCTGGTCGACCTGGTTTTGGGAGCCATGTGGAGCCGATCTCGCTGGTTGACCCAGGTTTGGTTCAGTTTGGCGATCGACCGATCCTCGAGGGCGGGCGGATCGATGGAGAATCGATTCCGAGGATCGATCGATGCTCGATCGATCTTCGAGTCTGAGGGGAAGCATTTCTTCAGAGGAGGTGCGTGACTCCAAGACGAGAGGAGGGAGGTCTACTAAGCTGCCCCGCCACTCTGGCCCGCTTTGCGGCCAGACTACGTGCGCCGATTCCGTGACATTCACGCTTGGGTTGTCGTCTAATCGGCTGGGGCCAATCATTTGCGTTAGTGCTGCCCGCTTGGATCACCTCGGGCATACAACACTCGGTACATGGAAAAAACGTAGCCTCGCTGATTTTCCGCTGATTCGCTCCCCTCTTCCTCTCTGGCCTGGACGGCAGTTCTCGTGTAGCCCTTCCCTCCCAGGGGACGGGGCACGGGGTCGCAGGTACCAGGGACCGACCCTGATGGAGATGTTCGACAACCTGGAGACACCAAAGCGCGAGTCGGATGTGCGCCTCGCCGCAACCGTTACCGCCGCCGTCGTGTTGGTCGTCTTCGTTGTCTCCGAGAGTGGTCGATGTCGATGTCGTCGTCGATGGCGTCGTCGTCGTCGTCGTCGTCTTCGTCGTCGTCAGAGTCCAAGTCGTCGTCGTCGTTGTTGTCGTCGTCGTCGTCGTCGTCGTCGTCGTCGTCAGAGTCGTCAGAGTCGTCGTCGTCGTCAGAGTCGAAATCGTCGTCGTCGTCGTCGTCGTCGTCGTCGCCCATCTGCTGCCGCAACCGCCGGCGGGGTGCGGCGGGTGTTTGGCCCGCCGCGCGCGAGCCCCGCCGGCTGTGCGCCGCGCCTGGGGGCCGTGCAGTGTGCACCCTGCTGCGCCGCTGCCGCCTCCGCCGCCGGCCGTCGCCGCCGCCGACGATTGACGATCGACGGTCGAGGACGATGGACGGCGTCGACGGCAGCGGCGACGATCGACGATCGACGATGGTGGACGGTCGACGATTGGCGGCGTCGTCGTGGTCGCCAATGTGTTCCTGATCGTGTACTCCTTCGCCATCTCCTCCTCGTTCTCCTTGTCGTCGTCTCCGTCCTGGTCCTCCCCGCCGTCGTCGTCGTCCTCCTCCTCCTCCTCCTCTGCTTCCTTCTCCTTCTTCTTCTCCCTTTCGTGATTTTCCCCCCTTCCTCTGCCTCCTCTTCCTGCTTCCTCCTCGTCCTTCTCCTCCTGCTCCCTCTCTTCCTCGTCCTCGCCCTCGTCCCTCTTGCTTTCCGCCTCCGCGTGCGCCCGCAGCAACCAGTGCGGATACCCATGCTGGACGGCTACAGGGACATGGGCGCCGTCACCGCCATCGGCAAGGTGGAGCAGGGCACCGTGAGGCGCATGGCCTTCGCTCTGCAACCCGTCCTGGCCACTTCCGAGTAGGGGATCGACTACAAAATGGATTTGCCCCAAAATTGATCTGCTCGTCGAGTCTACGACAAGTGCTAGAATGCTCCGTTGATCTATGAGCCGAATCTACACACTTGTCCTACATTCGACGAGAAGATCAAGTCTGGGGTACATCCATCCTGTAGCCGATCCCCTGCTCGACACCTCTGGCCCCGCTGCACCTCTGCCACGGCGAACAGCTCCTCCTCCTCGCTGCCGCGGGAGCGGCACTGGCGCCTGGAGCTCTCCGCACGGGGGCTCGTCTGCCCCCCCGCTCGCTGCACTGCTGCCGGTCCGATCCCCTTCCCCCCCCCAGACTCTTGACGTCGCAGCGCGGCAGAGGCAGTCCGCACGCGCTCGGGCAAGCCGGGAGCTGGCACCGCTGATTGTCCTGCGGCAAGAGCGGTCAAAAGGGGTTCCCCCCAGACATACGCGACTTCCCGTTTTTTATATTTGTTTTTCTTTCACTCGGGCGTCTTTGCAAAGTCCCGACCCCTTCCATGGGACCCGTTTTTCATCCCGACCCGTTTTTTGATGGTCCTGGGGCCCGGTGAGGGCCCCCAACGGCCCAAACCAAGGGGCGCCTCCCCGCCTTTTTTTCCCCACATGTTTCGTGGGGTTCTGGTTTTCTTCCCTGCCGCGCCGCACCCGCGTCTCACACCTCCCCCCTCCATTTCTCCTTCTCGCACAGCACAGCACAGCACAGCGCGGCACGGCACGGCACGGCACAGCACAGCTCACCGCACAGCAGCACAGCACAGCACAGCACAGCACAGCATACCACACAGGGCATTCCTTCGACGCCACAGGGGGTGGGGGTGCGCAGAGGGTGGTCCCTCAGCGCGGCCTCTATCCGTGACACGCTCGCAGATCGTGGCAGGCGTGGCACTTTCTCGACACCACAGGGGGTGCGCAGAGGGTGGTCCCTCAGCGCTGCCTCTATCCGTGACACGCTCGCAGATCGTGGCAGGAGTGGCATTTTCTCGAAGCCGCAGGGGGTGCGCAGAGGGTGGTCCCTCAGCGCGGCCTCTATCCGTGACACGCTCGCAGATCGTGGCAGGAGTGGCACTGTCTCGACACCACAGGGGGTGCGCAGAGGGTGGTCCCTCAGCGCGGCCTGTATCCGTGACACGCTCGCAGATCGTGGCAGGAGTGGCACTTTCTCGACGCCACAGGGGGTGCGCAGAGGGTGGTCCCTCAGCGCGGCCTCTATCCGTGACACGCTCGCAGATCGTGGCAGGAGTGGCACTTTCTCGACACCACAGGGGGTGCGCAGAGGGTGGTCCCTCAGCGCGGCCTCTATCCGTGACACGCTCGCAGATCGTGGCAGGAGTGGCACTTTCTCGACACCACAGGGGGTGCGCAGAGGGTGGTCCCTCAGCGCGGCCTCTATCCGTGACACGCTCGCAGATCGTGGCAGGAGTGGCACTTTCTCGACACCACAGGGGGTGCGCAGAGGGTGGTCCCTCAGCGCGGCCTCTATCCGTGACACGCTCGCAGATCGTGGCAGGAGTGGCACTTTCTCGACACCACAGGGGGTGCGCAGAGGGTGGTCCCTCAGCGCGGCCTCTATCCGTGACACGCTCGCAGATCGTGGCAGGAGTGGCACTTTCTCGACACCACAGGGGGTGCGCAGAGGGTGGTCCCTCAGCGCGGCCTCTATCCGTGACACGCTCGCAGATCGTGGCAGGAGTGGCACTGTCTCGACACCACAGGGGGTGCGCAGGGGGTGGTGGTCCCTCAGCGCGGCCTGTATTCGTGACACGCTCGCAGATCGTGGCATGAGTGGCTTTTGCTCGACACCACAGGGGGTGCGCAGAGTGCGGTCCCTCAGCGCGGCCTCTATCCGTGACACGCTCGCAGATCTTGGCAGGAGTGGCACTTTCTCGACACCACATGGGGGTGCGCAGGGGGTGGTCCCTCAGCGCGGCCTCTATCCGTGACACGCTCGCTGATCGTGGCAGGAGCGGCACTTTCTCGACACCACAGGAGGTGCGCAGAGGGTGGTCCCTCAGCGCGGCCGCTATGCACGACGGTCGTCCAGGGCATAGCAGGCGTGGCACTTTCTCGACACCATAGAGGCTGCGCAGGGGGTGGTCCCTCACCGCGGCCGCTATGCACGACGGTCGTCCAGGGCATAGCAGGCGCGGCATTTTCTCGACACCACTGGGGGTGCGCAGGGGGTGGTCCCTCACCGCGGCCGCTGGCTGGCTCGAATCTGTCTTCGACGGAGGATAGAAGGCTAGGAAGAGGGAGGAGGTTCAAGCAATATGGCGTTGGATGACACATAGGGGGACATTCGCGACGAGGGCTGAGAACGCAGAATTGCACATATATTATAAACTTAAGCAAACACTCACTATTTAAGTTAAGTATGTGGGGTTCGTCGGTAGCGTAATTCAGGGGGGGGTTCTCCCAACCATCCTGTGGTGTTGGGTCCTCGTTTTGAAGAGACGGTCCCCGCGTTCCTTCCTTCCTTCCTCGTCCCCCTCCTCTGCGGTGTTCGCATGCGTCTCCCCCACCCAGGACGGCGTTTCGCTGGCCCCACACGGAGCCCCACCTAAGGTCCCAGTGGCGGTGTTCGCATGCGTCTCCCCCGCCCAGGATTGCGTTTCGTGGCCCCACGGGGAACTCCACTTAAGGCCCCCGTGTCGGTGTTCGCATGCGTTTCCCCCCCACCCAGCACAGCGTTTTGCTGACCCCATCGGGAGCCCCACCTAAGGCCTTAGTGGCGGTTTTCGCATGCGTCTCCCCCACCCAGGACAGCGTTTCGCTGGCACCCCACCGAAAACCCCAATGGTGGTGTTCGCATGCGTCTCCCCCACCCAGGACAGCTTTTCGCTGGCCCTATAGGGAGCCCCACTTAAGGTCCCAGTGGCTGTGTGTCGCATGCGTCTCCCCCACCCAATACAGCGTTCCGTGGCCCCACAGGGAGCTCCACCTACGGCCCCGGTGGCGGTGTTCGCATGCATCTCCCCCATCCAGGACAGCGTTTCGCTGGCCCCACAGGGAGCTCCATTTAAGGCCCCCGTGGCGGTGTTCGCATAGGTCCCCCCCGCCCACGACAGCGTTTCCTGGCCCCACAGGAAGCTCCACCTACGGCCCCAGTGGCGATGTTCGCATGCGTGTCCCCCGCCCAGTACGGCGTTTCGCTGGCCCCATAGGGAACCCCATCTAAATCCCAAGTGGCGGTGTTCGCATGCGTCTCCCCCATTCCGGACAGCGTTTCGTGGCCCCACAGGGAGCTCGCTCCACCTACGGCCCCAGTGGCGATGTTCGCATGCGTCTCCCCCGCCCAGTACGGCGTCTCGCTGGCCCCATAGGGATCCCCATCTAAAGCCCCAGTGGCGGTGTTCGCATGCGTCTCCCCCACCCAATACAGTGTTTCGTGGCCCCACAGGGGGCTCCACCTACGGCCCCGCTGGCGGTGTTCACATGCGTCCCCCCCGCCCAAGACAGCGTGTCGTGCCCTCACAGGGAACTCCACTTAAGGCTCCCGTGGCGGTGTTCGCATGCGTCCCCCCCGCCCAGGACAGCGTTTCATGGCCCCACAGGGAGTTCCACCCAAGGCCCTTGTGGTGGTGTTCGCATGCGTCTCCCCCGCCCAGTACGGCGTTTCGTGGCCCCACACGGGTCCCCACCCACGGTCCCACTGGCGGTGTTCGCACGCGTCCCCCCCCAGCCAGGACAGCGTTTCGTGGCCCCACATCGACTTCCGCCCAAGGCCCATGTGGCGGTGTTCGCATGCTTCCCCCCTGCCCAGGACTGCGTGTCGTGGCCCCGCAGGGAACCCCACCTGAAGCCCCATGTGGCGGTGTTCACATGCTGCCCCCCCGCCCAAAACAGCGTCTCGTCGCCCCACAGGGAACTCCACTTGAGGCCCCCCAGTGGCGGTGTTCACATGCTGCCCCCCCGCCCAAAACAGCGTCTCGTCGCCCCACAGGGAACTCCACTTGAGGCCCCCCAGTGGCGGTGTTCGCATGCGTCTCCCCCACCAAGGACAGCGTTGCGCGGCCCCACGGGGAGCTCCACCCGGGTGGAACGACCCGTGGAGCTGCGGAGCCCTGCGTGGCGTACTGGAAAGCAGGCACCGCCTCGTGGCCCACAGAGGGAGACCCTTACAAATTTCGCGCCCCCCCGTAAGAGACCCCACTGAAGATTCTACACGCGATCGCGGTACCTACAGCTGAATCTGGTTGGGTCCCTCGCCAGGCTGATTTTTTCTGTTCCACGACGCGGGGCATGCCTGGACCCGCGCCCTCCACGGTTGCGGCCCCCCCTCCCTCCTCGCGGCGGCGCGCACCTGGGGACGGGAGTGGTGCGCGGGGGGCCCCGGGCGGCCTTCCGAGAGGCCAGGCTCCCTGGGAAGCCCAGGGCCCGGCGGAGGGCCCATGCACACTCTGAGAGCCGCCCTGGCGCCCCCGGGGCGTGCCCCCACAGAGTCGTCGTTTCTTGGCCTTTCCGCGGCCGGCGGTCTCACGAGCGCGGCTTCTCGGGGCTCAAGAGACGGGGGTCAAAGCAAACGGGGGTCAGCCAGAGCGCCAGATCTTGCAGGATCTTGCAGGGCCAGGGTCGCATTGACCCAGATTTGGGTGCAGGATCCTGCATGGTTTTTCGCATAGACCCGGTTTTGATGCAGGATCTTGCAGGATTCTTTCCTGGCTGACCCGGGTCTGGATTCGCCCCGGTCAGAAGAGCCCCGAGCTCTTCCGCTCCCTGCAGGAGGAATGAGCATTCCAGCGCAGCAACAATCGTCCTGCGACGCTTTGTCGTGCCCTTTTTTGTTGTCCTTGTTTTATGTCGGGCCTGTCCCCCTACAGGGGGGTTTTCGACGACAAAATAAAACATACACAAAAAACACACACACACACCAAAAAGGTCAAACAATTATGAGAAAAATAGTCCCCAGACTACTTTTGGATTATTTTTGGAATATTTTTTGGGTATCTCTTATCTTTCGTCGAAAATCCCCCTGTAGGGGGGGGACAGGCCCGACTTAGTCCTTGTTTTGTTGATCCCCTTCCAGCTTTCCCCCAAAGCCCGCCTGCAGGAGGTCCTGCCCGACCTGCCGGCAGGCCCTCCCCGAGGCCACGGCCGGCCATGGCCTCCGGCGGCGGGGGCGCCCTCGGCGCCGCCCTCCGCGCCGGGCGCCGCTCCCCTCTGGCGGCGCCTCCCCCCTCGTGCCGCCCCAGAGGTTCGGGCCGGACGCAAGGGGGGATTGGGAAAGGGGGGGTACGAAATTTGCGGCATGCAGCTGGTTTCGGCCTCACCGAGGGGCCCATTTAAAACAGGGCTAGGATCGGGATAAATCGCTCCAGAGCGTTCCAGAGCGCTCTCAGAGCGTTCCGGAACGCTCTGGAGCGGCCGCGGCGCCCAATACATCCTCCAGACCCGCCCATTCTCAGAGATTTCGAGTTATCCCGATCCGATTTTGTCCCGATCTTCGCGTCGTTTTACCATTCCTCGACACATAGCCGCCTCAGGCGCCGGGAGGCGCCGGGAAAACCAGCTACGTGAGCTGATTCTAACCCCCCTTTTGCGATCCCCCCCTTTCGCGCGACCCGAGAGGTGCGAGGCTCCGCGGAGAGGGGAGCGGCCGGTCCTGCAGCGCGCCGAGCGGGTCTACGAGGGCGTGCGCTGCAGAAACACATATGACACACACACACACACGCACGGTTTTATCACCTCCCCCCCCCCAGGACGTGCCCAGGAGTTTTTGTTGCTTTATGCTGTTGTCGTTCTTGTGGCTTTCGCTTGGAGGAGGAGGAGGAGGACCAGTGTAAACCCAAGAGGCATCAACGATGTTGGAGTACACCTTCCCGCCAAGCTCCCTTTTCATAGGCCCCTACAATGGTCATTTCCATTGAGGGAACAGCCTCGTTGGAAGACAATCCTTTGAAGACCCTTCAGCATGCCGAAACATTGTCCTTGGGATTGCAATGCCACGGATCAACCTGACTGTTGCGTGTTGACGATCCAGAATCGCGCCAGAACACCATTCCTAGGACTTCAACACAGCGAATCAACGTAACTGTTGCGCCCACGTAATCGTGAATCCTTTCAGAACGCCGTTCCTGGTACGTTGATGATGGGAAGCTGTAAAACTCTTGCAAATCTTTAAAACGAATGTGCGCGGCGCCAAGGCGAGAGCCACATTTTGAAAAGGAACCGCCCTCAATCCGTGAAGATCCTGCAATTTTTTAAAACGAATGTGCGCCGCGCTAGTGGGAGAGCCACTTTTTGAAAATCACCCGCCCTCAAATCCGTGAAGATCTTGTAGTTTTCTAAAACGAATATGCGCCGCGATAGTGCGAGAGCCACATTTGAAAACCGCACGCCCTCAATCCGTGAAGCTCTTGCAATTTTCTAAAACGAATGTGCACCGCGCTAAGGCGAGATCCACATTTTGAAAACCCGCCGCCCTCAAATCGTGAAGCTCTTGCAAGCTTCTAAAACGAATATGCGCCGTGCTAATGCGAGAGTCACATTTTGAAAGCCACACGCCCTAAATCCGTGAAGCTCTTGCAAGTTTCTAAAGCGAATGTGCGCCGCGCTAAGGCGAGAGCCACACCTTGAAAGCCACCCTCCCTCCATCTGTGAACTGTTACCACTTTTAGAGTTAGAGCTTCAGGGTCTTCATGGTGAGGAAGTCTCAGGCGAAACGCCTGGCCCGCCCTAAAAACTGACCTCGGGGTGCGACAGGGAGAAGTTGTTTATACAGGGAAAAGGAATGGAGGAGGAGGAGGAGGAGGAGGAGGAGGAGGAGGAGGAGGAGGAGGAGGAGGAGGTTTGGGCTATTTTCGGTTCCCGGGGGCCCTCCACTGTGCCCTGGGACCTCCAAAAAACGACGCGAGATGAGAAACCGGCCCTACAGGGAAGCTGACCAGATCTACAGGGGTCGGGTGGGGCTAGGACGAGGACAAATCCGCTCCAGAGCGTTCCAGCACGCTCTGAGAGCTTTCTGGAACGCTCTGAGAAGGCCGCGGCGCCCGAGGCATCCTCCAGAGCCGCCTGATTTCAGAGATTCCCGATGTATCCTCGCCCGATTTTATCCTTGTCGTGGCTTCGTCTTAAGGGGTCCACACATCGAAAATGTTGGAGCGCCTGATGTCCGCGGCCACCACCCGCTCGTGCGCGCCGCAGGCCGCAGAGGGCTTCCCTCCATCCCCCGCCGCGAGCTCGCCAGCAGGCCCGGCATGAAGTGCGTACTGCTGCCGACCGGGACGAAGTGCACGATAGCGTCCGTGTTCATCAACAACACGGAGGGCGAGCCGGAGGACGCCGGCGGCCTTGAGGGCAAAGTCCGCCTGCCTTTAGAAGACCAAGTTCTGGGGGCCTGTGTGAAATACCTTTCTCACTTTCTTGCAAGCGTCTATTGACACATTGGATGTCGCTACATATATAGACACATCTGGGGTGGATGCGTCTATAGACAACGCTGCCGTTGTGTTTGGCGCAGTACGATGTCAGAGAAATGGGATATCCGTTTGGGGCTTGTTCCTGCTCTAGAGCAGGTCCCACATGGAGCACCTAGAAGCAAGGCATTGGCAGGGCGATTGCGAAGGCGATGTGCCATCTGATCTGGAGATGTTGAAGTGCCTCGGAGTAGGTGTTGTCCAGACCTCTTCCGGCGGGAAATCTGGGTAAGGGAGTATCGGCCCCACCCGTGCAAGAAAGAAGCATCCCCAGATGCCCAGGCGAATTGCCCAAGTCAGAGAAGCGCAGGAGCATCCGGTGGAACAAGGAGGGGTGGGCAGCCGTCAAATCGAAGCTCGGGGCCAGCCTCAGCAGACGAAGGAGTCAGCCATGAATGCCCTCTCGGATCTTTCGATGTTTCGATGTGGCAGCCTCTTGGCAGCCTGCTTGGGGGCCATCTTGGGGGGTCGTCGGGGCTATTTCGGCGGCATTCTCCTCCTCCCTCCTCCCTCCTCCCTCCTCCTCGTCCTCCTCCTCTTCCTCTTCCTCCTCCTCCTCCCTCCTCCTTCCTCCTTGGTTCCCTTGAGGCCCTCTCGGGGTCCTCTTGGGGCTCTCGTGGGGCCCTCTTGGAGCCCTTTGGGGCCTCCGTGGGGGGCCCTCTCGGGGCCTTCTCGAGCGCAGTCGACCGAACCAGGAGGGTAGTCCACCGCGCTTCCCCGTCGGAGGCCGAAGCTTCGCCTCTTGGAGCCCTCTCGGGGCGCTGCCGGGGTGCTCCCGGGCTCTCTGGGGGCCGTGCTGGGGCCCTCGGGGGTCTGGGGCCCCTCCTGGGGCTCCCTTGGGCAGTCTTGGAGCTGTCCGGAGGCTTCGGAGGCCCGTCGGCAGCGACAGCGCGAGGAGGCAGCGAGGATGACTCTTTCCTTGGGTGTCGGGAGGGCTTTTGCCCCGTGAGGGCGTCCTGGGTGGACTCCGCGTAAACACTCGGAGCCGTCTGGGAAGCCAACTGCAACACGGGCGCAAACCAGCCCTCTGGGGGACATGCTGCAAGCTGTCTTGAACCATCTTGGCACTCCTCTATTCGTCTCCGTGGGCGTTGGCTTCTCATGGTGGTGGCGATTCTGGTAGTCCAGGGCTGACAGCTCCTGCCCCGGCGCATGCTCGCGTAGAAGGGCCAGCATCAGTGTGTTCGTTGCCGGGAGTGGTGGAGTAAAGGGGGGACGAGAAAACAGAAAGTTATCTCGAACCATCTTGGGCTCATCTTTGGCCATCTCGGACGCTCCAAAGCCTCGCGACCCCCCCGTCCAGCCCCAAGGGGAAGATTGATGGGCAGGGGTACACCCCTCCCCCAAGGGCAAGGAGGGAGTTTGAAGAACGAATGCGTTCAGGTGCTCGCGCCCTGAAGGGCCGACGGGAGTCTGGTGCGCAGTGGCTGTGCGGATCACCGTTCATCCTCCCTCACGTCCTGGCACGTAAAGTCAGCGCGCACAATAAGGATGAGCGTTTCCAAGGTTACTCTTGCATCCTTCCCCTCCGGCCCATCCTTGGCCACTCTCGCTGGCCGAGTCCCGCTCGAAAACTGTCGACACGGGCTTCCAGGGTCCCTTCCATCCTTATCTGATTTTGCATCTTCGGGGGACTCTTCCTATCCTGCAAATGGCGGTCTGTTCTTGTACTACGACGTGGGTTCAACGCGGATTCAACGTGAACGCGACGTGGATTCGGCACGGATTCGACATATTCGACGCGCTCGCACATATTCGACACAGGTTCGACGCGGATCGCGGCGCGACGGGAAAGACAAGGTCCCCCGAAGATGCAAGATACTTCATCGTGCATCCTCATTCTGCGCATTGACCGTGTTCTCCTGTTCCCTGTCTGCTGTTGTCCGCAGTTGCCCCTGGGGCCTGGACAGGTATCCCCCGGGCCCCTGGCGGGCTTGCCCGCGGCCGCGCCGCGCGCCCAGGAGATGTCGCACGCGCCGTGCGGCGAGAACGTCACGATGAAGGTGACGGGCTGCTCTGAGGACCAGCTCGCCAAGGCTCCCCTCCCTCCCTCTCATGCGCCTTATGCCTTTGCGCCTCTCGCCTCCCTCCCCTCGCACAGAGCAGGTGACCATGTCCGATATAGTCATGATGCTCAAGCGAGGGCCGCTTTGGGCTCAGGATCTGCTCGGGTTTTCGGGCCGTTCCCCAGTTTTATGGCGTTGACCTCAGTTTGTGGCCTAGGCCCGCCGTGGCCAGAAAAGCCCCTTCGGTCCTTGAGGTAGCACGATGACTGTGTCCGATAGCGGGGACAGCAGTTGGACCCTCACCACCCCTTTTCTTTGATGGTGCTGCATGAACAGAACGGCATGTCTGATGCACATGCGCTGAGTTGCTTCTCTCGAGTATCGTTTCGCAGGTCGCTGCTGGCCACCAGGGCCAGGTGTGCACCAACATCATGCAAGGCATTTCAAGCACGCATATCGCCCGCTTATCGGCAGCCTCTCACGAGATGCCCCTGGCACGAGACCCCACGATACGTGCCCGCCCCGCCTTGGCTGTGACGCCCCTCTCCGGGCCGCTCCGAGACGCGCCGCCGCGCGGATCGGAGGCTGCGGCTGCAAATGGGGCGCTCGGGGCACTCCAGCAGACTGGCGGACTTTCGGGAGAGCGCGAAGGTGAACGTGGGCAAGTTGGAGGGCGTTGGCGGCACCCCGCAACAGGAGTCCGACGACGAGGTGCAGGAGCTGATCGAGAAGGTAGCCGAGGCTACCCACGGTTTGCCCGACACGAGCTGGCTGTTCGAGAAGGACGGGTTCGAGGGCGCGCAGAGAGAGCTGGAGGGCATCGACATCGAAGCGAACGGCACCCTGAGCGAGTCCGCACAAGACAAATACGGTGCCAAGCCCACCCTGAGCCCGCTCCGGAGCGAGGGGAGGAGCCGGCCTCTGTGGGTATCGACTGCGTGGCGCAGACAATTGAGCAGCATCGTGCCGAGGACGGGACAAACCAGGCGAATATCGACGCGAAGTACGGCCTGGATACCTACAGCCTCAACATGCGCAACACCCAGCAGGAGAAGACGTTCAAGGAGACGTGCGAGGATGGGAGCAAGGAGAAGGTCGAGAATGCGGACTGGGCTGCCATCGGCAGGCTCGACATGCCTCTGTTGTCCTAGAAGGAAGCGCCCGAGAGCACGCGCAAAGCGCCGGAGGGGGCACCGGCATCGACGCGAACGGCAGGCCGAGCCGCCATCCTGAACGGGAGGAGGTTGTCCCCAGTGGAGACCGACCGCGTAGCGCAGACGACGGGGCAGTGTCGCGCTGACGACGAGACAAAAAGGCGAACACCGAGACCAAACACGGCCTGGATGACTATCGCTCCACCATGCGCAACGCCCAGCGGGAGGAGTCGGTCAAGGAGAAGACCGGGAACGAGGACAATGAAAAGATCGGGAAGACGGCCCAGTCCACGACCGACGGGCTCGACAAGAACTTGTCTGAGATGGATCTGGGCGAGGGCACCACGGGGGAGCTGGAGGTCATCATCAACCCCACCATGCTTGTGAAGTGCCGTTTCGTTGGCATGATCTATGATAAGGCGGTCTCCGTGATACGGGAAGGATGGAGACGCCGTGCGCCGAAATGGAGGACGGGGTTTTGGATATTTGATGACCGCGATGCATGCGTGGGAGGGCGGAGGCATCGTGGGCAGGACTCACGACCTCGAGTGGATTATCGACTCAGGCGGCCAGAACTGGAGGCTGAGGGGCCAGACAGCAGCTGAAAACGGACAATGCGGGAACCGTAGGCTCTCTTCTCCTCTCCGCCACCTCGCCCTGTGCCACAATTCGTTGGCGCGGCCTAGGATGGCGGAAACTTGTCAAACGCCTTTGCAGAACCCAGTCGTCCTTGGCGCGGCCTGGGGCTCCAGGTGCATGAGCTGTCCCTGATGCAGCTGTTCCTGTTGCCATGATTCTCCATATTTATGTTTTTGGTCTTTCTAGTGGCTAACACGTCTTCATTCGAAGTCCCTCAGAGGTGTGGCGCTTAGCCGAGGCCGCCAGGTTGTCTGCATTTCGGACGTCCTCGGACTTGGCTTGGCCAGAGGCGCCCCCATGCCGGACGACTCTGGAATTCGCTGCCCGCATGGGCGAACACAGATCCAGTCTAGCTTGAGCTTTACTAGGCACGCTTCTTTATTAAAATGTTTTGTTACAACAGCGTAGCGTAGCACAGTCAGTGGATCGCAAGTGGTTCTATCTAACAACCCCTCTCACTCCCCTCCCCACCTCCTCGCTTCTCCCTCCTCTTCGGTTCCCCTGCGCCCCTCCCCTTTTTTCTCTGCCCCACAATGCTGCAGATCCCGCCAATCCCGCTTCCTTCCACGGTGCGACAGGGGCACAATGAGCAGTCGTCGTCGTCGTCGCCGTCGTCGTCGTCGTCGTCGTCGTCGTCGTCGTCGTCGTCGTCGTCGTCGTCGCCGTCGTCGTCGTCGTCGTCTTCGGTTGTGTGGCAGGCGGCGCGGTTGTCACCGCACTTTCCGTCAACCTGACTGTCGGTCACCTCTTCTCTCCGCCCCTTATTTTCTCCTCCACTCCTCCCCTCCCCATCCGCTTCTCCCTTCCTCCATCCACCCATCCGCCTCTTTGCCCCTCCTCATATAAAGCGGTCGCACTGGGGCGTGTGGTGATCGCGCCGCTGCTCCTCTCATTTTTCCCTGGCGCCCCGAACCGAGCAGTGCGAATGCCCGCCAGCAAACGCCAAAGATTCTAGAAAGTATCTGGGGACCTCACACATTTGCAAGAGCACTCTAAGCTCCTCCTACCATCCTGGGTCTGATTTCGAGCGGCTTCTGGATGGGATGGAAAGGGAAAAGAGCGTGGGGAGCAGGAGCGGGATACTGATGGTGGTGGTGATGGTGGTGATTGATTTGATTGTTGGGATTACCATGACGATGGCGAGGGTGATGATGACGATGCTGACGACGCAGGAGATGCTTATGCTTATTCTGCTGTTGATGCGGTTGGGGGATCGTAGTGACGATGCTGACAAAGATGCTGATGAGTTTGGTGATCGTGCAGATGCTCCTGCTGTTGTTAATGCTGGTGTTTGTGTCGGTGGTGAAGATGAATATAATGCGGATGCTGATGATGATGATGATGCTGAGGATGATGCTGATGATGATGATGATGATTGTGGCCGTGATGATGACGATTATGCTACTGCTGATGATGGTGATTCTGCTGATGATGCTGCTGAATATTATGATGCTGATGCTGCTGATGATTATGATAATGATGATGTGGATGATGATGTTGCTGATGGTGATGATGACGGTGCTGATTATGATGCTGACGATGATGATGATGATGCTGCTGATGATGATGATGCTGACGAAGATGGATGATGATGATGACTATGATGATGAAGATGATGCGGATGTTGATGCTGATGATGATGACGTTGATGATGATGCTGATGATGATGATGATGGTGGTAGTGCTGATGATGCTGCTGATGATGGTGATTATGATGATGCGGATGCTGCTGGAGATGTTGATGATGATGATGCTGTTGACGATGCTGATGATGATGCTGATGAAACTGCTGCTGATGATGATGATCATGATGATGAGGATGATGATGATGACAATGATGATGATGATGGTGGTGGTGGTGGTGGTGATGATGATGATACTGCTGATGATGCTGATTCTGATGATGCTGATGCTGATGATGATGCTGATGGTATGGCTGATGCTGATGATGATGCTGCTGATGATGCTGCTGATGCTGATGATGATGCTGATCATGATTCTGATGATGATGATGATGATGCTGATAATGATCCTGATGCTGCTGCCGTTGATGATGATCATGACGATGATGATGCTGCTGCTGATGGCGGTGATGATGATTATGACGATGCTGATGATGCTGATGATGATGCTGATGAGGATGAGGATGAGGATGATGATGATTATGAGGATGAGGATGAGGAATATGATGATGCTGATGATGATGTTGATGCTGATGCTGATGCTGATGGTGATGCTGCTGCTGCTGCTGCTGCTGCTGCTGATGATGATGATGATGATGATGATGATGATGATGATGATGATGATATCCATCTGCCCGTGGCAAGTCCTGCAACCGTCCCCGTGCAACAGCGTAACAGGGAGGAGTTTGAATCTTTATCTCTTCGCGTATCCCCACCAGCCCATGAAGAAACGCTGCCCAGGGGAGCTGTCTTTATTGGAGGAGCGTGGCATCATTTGGACAGCTGAGGGAGCCCCCCGTGGGCCAGAGGCTTCTTGGATGCCTTTCTGGGATGTCTCTCGGGACTCTTGAAGGCCTCTTGGGGCGTCTTGGGGCCTCCTGGTGGCTCTCGGGGGCCTCTTGGGACGCTTGGGCGCATTGGAGGCCTGGTGCGAAGTCTTTGGGGCCTCTGGGCGGTCCTCAGAGCCTCTTGGGGCGTCTTGCGTGACTCTTGGGTGCCTCTTGGAGTCTCGTGGGGGCCGTTTGGGAGCCTCTCGGGGGCCTCCTCGGAGGACTTCTTGGGCCCTCTTGTGATGATCCCGCCGGGGTGGGCGGTGGCTGCTCTGACTCCCCTCGGGGGGTCTTTTTTTGGGGGGTGAATTTGTAATGCAACATCGGGAATTGCCCAACATCTGTTCCGGAGAGGGGGGGCGGTTTTCTGACGGTGCGTGCGACGAGGGCGGGGTGTCGGGTTAGACGTCACAAAAAATTTCATCAGCCAACAGACGAGCACTCTGACACGTCCACTCTGGACAGGCATGGTGGCGGAGCACTGTTCTTGGTATCTCTTTTGCGGTTGCTGTCGTTGTTGCTTTTCTGGCTGTTGGGGTGGTTGTTGATGGCTACTACGATGTCGCTGCTGCTGATGATGCTGGTGGTGAGGAGGACAAGGACGAGGAAGGATACACAGGAGGACCTCGAAGAAGACGGGGAGGAGGTGGAGGAGGAGGAGGAGGAGGAGGAGAAGGAACCCCGATCCTCCCGCGCCTCTGGCAGAGGGCTACGTGCTGTGCCCAGTAGCCGAGCCCGCCAGAGTTGTGACCAAGTTCAAGGCCGGTCGGCGCGTGTCGCGCGCGTGGGCCCCCCTCTCCGCCTCGTTCCCTCTCCTGTGTCTGCTCCTCCCTCTCTCGCCCGCCTTGCTGTCTAGGCAGGCTGCCTTTCCAAGAGGCCCTCCTGCGGCGGGGCACGCCTGCCCCACGGCCTACCAGTGGGCCAGACCAGGCGGCGCCCCAGGCGGTTCTGAAGGGTGTGGCCCCCGCCCCGCTTCCACACAGTTCGCAGGGGCGCAGCTTGCTGCAGCAGGAGTCTGCGGGATGCCCCATGATGCCCCCGATGCGCCTTCTGCCTCGGCCTCGGCCTCCTTCTCCCTCCCTGTGCTGCTGCTGCTGCTGCTGCTGCTGCTGCTCGTCGTCGTCCTCCTCCTCAAGCGCAGCGCCTGCTGCTGCTCCTGCTGCTGCTCCTGCTGCTGCTCCTACGCTGCTCCTCCTCCTCGTCGTCGTCGTCGTCGTGCCTTCCCGCGCGCAGCTCGCTCGCGCTGGCCTGCCGGAGCCGTGCCGCCGCCCTCGGGACCGGAGGGCTCTTCCCGGCTCCGCCGCGTCCCCCGCCCGTCGCGCCCGGGGGCCTCCGGTCCGCCCCGGCGGCCCTGCGCACCTCGACGGCCGAGCAGGCCACTCGGCCAGCGTCGGAGGTGGGTGGACTCAAGGCGGGCCTGCCCCTCCCACAGGAAGTGGACTCAAGAGTGGTAAAAGTCAGTCTGGGGACGATTGTTGTAGTATTTTTTATCATCTTTTGAATTTCTCTTTGACAGTCGTTTAAGTTTTCGTCCAAAATCCGCCTGTGGGGGGACATGCCCGACCCCATGATGGACCTCCTACCCTGACACGTCGATTAGCGAATTGGCCGCTTTCGGTTCGCGAGAGGGCGTCGCGGCCCGTCATTTTCTGCGGGTCCAAGTCCTTCGGTTTCGGTCCTAGGCTGTTTCTCACTAAAAAGGCGGTTTGCTAAAGGGGGGTTGCAGCTCGAGTGGTCGCCCCCGCTCCTGAGCCTCCTCCAGATTTTCAGGGTTAATTTCGATCCGGTCGGTCCGATTCTGTATCGATGTCGGCCGGCCCGATCCGATTCGATTCTATATTCAGGCGGTTCGTTGCAGCCTGATGCTCGTGTGGCGCCGTTGTACATCCTGGCGCGGCCGAATCGATTCGATTCCGACTCCGTGCCGATGCGGCCCGACCCGACGCGCATTCCGATTCGACCCGAGGTTCCGATTCGATGCTGGCTAATTTTGGATTTGCCGCCAGCGGCGGCGTTGTTTGTACCGCAGTGTCGGCGGGGCGCCCTGCCGCGGGCCGTGGGCAGGGAGATCGCCCGCCTGCCCGTGAGCAAGAGTAGGGCTTTTGGTGGGCTCCCCGCCCTCTTGTTCGCAGCCATCGATTCGCCTGGCTCGATTCGCCCGGTTCGATGCGCCTGGCTCGTGTGCAAGAACAGGGCCCGATGAGCTGCCCGCCCTCTTGTTCCCCGCCCTTGTGCGCTGGTTTGTCGTTTTAAAAGAATCAGGAGGGGAAAACACACAGACACAATTAATCGTCGATTCCCAAGAAAATATAGGAAAATATGGGAAGTGTGGGGGGGAAGACAGGAACTCAAACATTTGGGAAACTATACGGAATCTTTTTATTTGTGTGTATTTTTTGTGTGTCCCAGGGCCCCTTCATCCTTCCTCCTCTCTTCCCTGCTGCCTCATGCCTGTCTCCCGCTTGCCTGTTAGCTTGCCTCGCTATACCCGGGGGTAGCGAGCCGCGGCGCCGTCGCCGCTTTCGAGGGCTGCCGGTGGGCTCGGCGGAGGGGCGCTCGGCCGCGGGGGGCGCCCAGCGGAGGGGCGCCCCGCGGGTGGGGACTCAGATGGGACCTCGCCATGCCTCTGGGGGGGGGCTGCGAACTGCAACTCTGTCGCCGCCGTCGAGGGCTGCCGGGGGGTTCAGCGGAGTGACGCCCCGTCGGGGGCTCAAATTAGGCCTCGCCATGCCCTGGGGGGGCTATGAACTGCGATTCTGTCGCCGCTGCCGAGTGTTGCTGGTGGGTCAGCGGGTGACGCCCCGTGGGGGACTCCGCTCAGACCTCGCCATCCCTGGGGGGCTGCGAATTGCGATGCTGTCACCACGTTCAAGGGCTGCTGGGGGGTCCAGCACCACGGGTCCGGGCGCGTCCAGATTTGCGTTCGCTTTCAAATCGTCACGCTTGTTTTGGCACCCCAGAACCCTTTCCTTGCAGAGCCCCGTGATCATCGCGATGTAGCATGCCCTGCATTTGGGCACTCCACGGGGGTGTCGACCAATGGTGCTCCACGAGCCTGTTCGCGTCCAGAGTTGTGATCGCTGTCCTAATTTGTCACCCCCGGCTGCTGTCATTTCAGAGCCTCATGATCCTCGCGATGTGGCTGTCACCACTTTCGAGGGGTCCTGGGGGGTCAGCGGAGTGACCACGGGCCCGGGCGCGTCCAGTTTTGTGTTCATTCTCAAGTAGTTACGCTTGTTTTGGCACCCCAGAACCCTGTCCTTTCAGGACCCCATAGTCATTGCGATGTAGAGAGCCGTGCACTTGGGCACTCCACGGGGGGATCACAACTTGTTGTTCGCGTCCAGAGTTGTGATCGCAGTCCTTGTTTCGCGCCCCAGGCTCCTGTCGTTTCAGAGCCTCATGATCCTCGCAATGTCGCAGGCGTAGCTCGTGGGCACAGACTAGACCTCGCCATCGCTTGCGGGCTATGAAGTGCGAAACTGTCGCCGCTGTCGGAGGCTTCTGGGGGATATAGCGGAGTGACGCCCGACTATACCTCGCCATCCCTGGGGGGCTGCGAGCTGCGAAACTTTTACCACTTTCGAGAGCTGCTGGGGGGTCCAGCGGGGTGACCACGGGTCCGTGCGCGTCCAGATTTGCGTTCGCTCTCAAATAGGTACGCTTGCCTTGGCACCCCAGAACCCTGTCCTTCCAGAGCCCCAAAGTCATCGCGATGTAACATGCCTTGCCCTTGGGCACTCCACTGGGGTGTCGACCAAAGGAAATCCACGAGCCTTTTCGTGTCCAGACTTGTGATCGCTGTCCTTGTTTGGCACCCCTGGCTGCTCTCTTTTCAGAGACCCACGATCCTCGCGATGTGGCAGGCATGCGCGCCGCCCAGGCCTGTCCGACTGGGGGCGCCGCAGCAGCCGCCCCGCGCGCGCGGCGGAACGCGGAAGGGGGGATGCCGTGCGAAGGCAGGCGTAGGTAACAGGAAAATGGAGGGAGAGAGGGAATCGGCAGGAATCTGCATATGTCAACGCCGTTGCTCCCTTTGGCACGGGGGGGATGGGCCCACACGTCACGAGCCTTTTGGTGCCACCCCCCTCCCCGACCGTGCCGTAGGCCTCGCCGAGCAGCACCAGCAAGCAGAGAGACCTTCAAACCCGGGCGGGAGGGAGGCATCGGGTTGGACGAGAGGGGGGGAAAGAGGCATGGCTGGACCTAAACGGTGTTTTGGCCATCTCGTGGGCCCCTATTATTTTCTCGTTCTGTTTTGCATTTGCAAGCGAAGCGAAGGCAAAACGAGGAAGAACGAACACCACAACGGAAACGAGAAACACCATTCAGGTTCAGCCCTGGATGGTGAGCGTTTTTTCATTCTTTGTTTTGCTTATCGGCGCGGGCCCCCAACCCCCCCCTACCCCCCCCATGGAGTAGATCTTGGCTGTTTTGGGCGCTTGTTTCGAGCAGGTGGAGTCTCCTCCAGAATGGACGCGCTGCTGCAAACAGTCGCTCTGAGCAGAGGTCCGGAGCCAGACCCCCTCCTCTCCCCCCCTTTCCGCCCAATGCCGAAACGCCGAATAAAAAGACGCTCACCTGTCGCTGGATCTTGTCGACGCCGATCTTGGTCATGGTCCATGCGGGCCGTCGCCGAATCGCGAGGATGGCCCACGGACTGACGGTGACCAAGATGGACGGTGGCTAAGATCGACACCAACGTTTCTGTGTCCAGTCTTGGTCATGTCATGGTCCTCCTTCTCTTGTCCTCCATAAAGGTAGTTCGACTCGAGATCTGGCGACGAAATCGATACATCTGCTGCTCCCTGGCCAGGCCCATCCTGAACCCAGGAGCTGTGAACATTCCCTCCTGGCCAAACCAGGAGGGCGTGGCGTACACACCGCTGCTCGGTTCAGGATTGGCCTGGCCAGGGAGCAGTGGATATGTATAGATTTCGTCGCCCTACGGGGTAAGGATGGGTCACCTTCCCAAGGGTACCCTTGCATCCGTGCATCTTTGGCCAATCCTGAATCGCTTTCGACGGCCAGCCCCGCTAGCAAAGCTTCGATATTCGCGTCCAGGGGGCTTGCACCATCATCGTGCATCCTTGCTATCAGTTTTCAGGGCAGTTCGGCCCGAGAGGGAGGGAAGGCTCCTTAGAAGCACCCCCGCTTATAATCTTAGAAGGCGCGGGCCTTGTCTACAGGTGTGTGGCCCGCGCCTTCTAAGAACCAGCCTCCTTCTAAGAAGCCTTCCTCTCTCCCCTAGCCCCTCGCCCCAAGGGAGGGAGGGAGGAGGCGGGCGGGGAGCTCAACCACTTTCGACGGCCAGCCCCGCTCAAAACGCTTCGACATGCGCGTCCAAGGGGCTTGCAGCATTATCGCGCATCCTTTCTAGCAGTTTTAAGTGTAGCTCGGCAGCAGAGGGCGGGAGGGAGGAGGCGGGCGGGGAGCCCACCTCGGACCGCTCGCCCCCCCCCTGCCGCGCGCACCGTGGCGCACCGTCAGGCGCAGCTGCAGGTTATCGAGCTGCCGGAGGACCGCCGCGCCGTTCGCGTGGATATTTATCTGCGCCGTGCGCGCGGAATGTATGTCTGTCCGTCTGTCTGTCTAGATGTATGTATGCATGTATGTATGTATGTCTGTATGTAGTGCATGTATGTATCATCATGTGCTGTAATGCAGTACAACACAATGCAATGCAATGCAATGTACTTTAATTCATTTGTACGTAATACGATGCAATGTAATGTAGTATAATATAATGTAATAATGTCTTGCACTGTATTGTGACATGTCAAGTATGTATGTATGTCTGTATGTAATGCACACATGTTTGTCTGCAGAAGCGTGCATGTCTATACGTATTTATGCATATATGTTTACATGTTTACGTATGTATTTATTATAAATATAGGTATGCATGTATGTGTATGTGTGTGTATGTATGCATGCATGCATGTATGTATGTATGTGTGTATACGTGTTCGCATGTACGTCTGTAAGCATGTGATCATGCATGTATGTATGCATGTGTGTATGTATTTGTGAATGTGTTCAAGTGGGCAAGAACTTCAGTATGCGTGTATGTTTGTATGGATGCATGCATACATGCATGCATGTATGTATTTACGCCTGGCTGTGTGTATGGATGTCTGTCTGTCTGTCTGTCGTTCTGCCTGTCTGTCGTTCTGCCTGTCTGCCTGTCTGTCTGTCGGTCTGTCTGTCTGCCTGTCCGTGTCTGCCTGTCGGTCTGTCTGTCTGTCTGTAGATGTATGTGGGTCGGTAATTAGGTAGGTAGGTAGGTCGGGATGTATCCATGTATGTATGTATTTGTGTATGTATGTATGTATGTATTTGTGTATGTGCGAACGTCTATTAGCAAGGACTGCATGTGCGTATGTATGAATGAATGAATGCATGAATGCATGAATGAACACATGCACGTAAGTGATATATGCATATATGCGTGTATGTATATGTAGATGTATTTGTATATGCGTATGTGTGTATGTGCAGGCATATGTATACGTATATCTAGATGTCTATGTATACGTATATGTATATGTATATGTGTATGTGTATGTGTATGTATATGTATATGTATAGGTATATGCATAT